GAGGCGCCGCAGGTCAAGCACCGGGTGGCAGAGTAGCTGGCCCGGGCCGTGGAAGGTGGCCAGGCCGCCGCGGCCTGTGGCGCGCACCTCAGCGCCCAAGGCCCGCAGCCGCACAGTTTCCTCGGGCGTCAGGCCGCCGCGCAGCCCGGCCGTGTACACGGGCCCTGCGGGCTCGCAGAGCAGGAGCGCGCCTGCCTCAGTCCCCGACAAAGTCTGGGGTCCTGGCTCGGCCTGCAGTCGCCGCAGCCAGTGGTCCTGCAGCGCCAACAGCTCGGCGTATGGCACGCGACCCAGCCGCACCAACCGTACAGCGGGTTGTTTCATCGCGCCAGCTGCGCGGTCTGCGGGGCCCCGCCCCCTGCCTGGGCGGGCCTGGGGGCGGGGCGAAGAATCGGGGGCACCCCCACTAGCCGCCGCTCTCTGGTGATTGTTACAACGTGGTGGGAGGCAGTGTGATTCCCTGAAGACTCCGCGCATGGTCGGCCTCCCGCATTAATTAATTACAACAAACAGTACAGTGTTCACTGTTTGCTATGCTCTGCAGGAGCTCCCCTAGAGGCACTTGATACAGCGGTGCAGTGTATGTTCTGGTAAGCTTACATTCTTACAGCAGACGATAAACAAGTATAAAAGTGTTAAAAGTTATTCCTCATACTCATAAGTGCTACGAAGAGAAAAACAAAACAGAGAAACGCGGTGTGTCCTGGGTAGAGTTCCCCGAGGACTCAGAAGGAGATAAGCGTGGACACAGGAGGTTTATTGGTGGGGGCAGGCAGTACTTAAAGACCAGCACTTGGGTGAGAGCTGGAAGCAGGATAGGCAGAGGGAGAAGTTAACTGTAAAACATTGTAGCAAAGGCCTTAGCCAATCTCAAGGAATGCTCTGAGCCTGGGATGACCCTTTAGAGTTGTTCCAAATTAAGGCAAGGGGCCAGAAATTTATATATTTGCATTGACCAGTCACGGATACAGACTACACCTGGGGAGGCACTGACTTTTGGCAAGGCTGCTCCCTTCGCTGGAGGGCAGCTCCCCAGGAGGGACTCAGTTGTGAGTCAGCAGCAACCAGCCGTACCCCCCCCCCCCCCCCCCCCCCCCCCCCCC